TTACATGCTAACCCAAGCCTTACCATTCATTACGTAGCTGATTAAAATCATTAACACATAAATAAAGCACTAGAATTTCACTTACCGCAAAACCGCATTCATGCACCGTCTGTTTTAACCGCAGAGCGAGTCACAATAGTCCGATATATAAGCATGAAGAACAAACAACCACGGCCGGCTACAAGTTGTGTTTCCTGGATGAACTGAGCAGGCAGAGTCCCTGTAGCTAGCTTCACGGAGCAGCTAGCAGAGAGACAAGAAGCTAACAGCGGCAGGCACTTGACAGAGCCGTCACTCAATGTGACCACGCCCTAATTTATGCACAAACTTTAAGACCTAATATAAATAAAAGGGTCGCGTTAGAAAACAATTCACTCACAGATCCATAATCATGAAGGTGGAATCTAACTATATCGATAATAAAATGTATGGAGCCAGGGGTAGAAACATGTTTTTTTCTGCTGTAAAGTTGGGCATTTTAACATGGGGGTCTATGGAAATTGCTCCTTTCTGCAGCCATCGCCTATCGGTCAATATATGAACTGCAGTGTGTGGCACTTCCGTATTGGCTTCCCGGTGTCAGTACCAGATATGTTCGGGCTACCAGATATGTTCGGGTGTATTTCCGTCGCATCCGTCATCCGTCATATTCGTCATATTTTACGGCAATTCAAGAGGGCCATCACGGTCAAATTCCGAACATTTAAACATAGCCGACACTTCATTCTTTACTTTGTCCGTTATTATATGTAGAAGATTATACTTTTTCTCCGTCATGTTGTTTCCTTCGCAACAACTTCAAACAGGCATAGCCTACACTTCATTCTTTACTTTGTCCGTTATTATATGTAGAAGATATTAATTTTTTCTCCGTCATGTTGTTTCCATAGCAACAACTTCAAACAATAACAACTAACCGCTAGCCGCAAAGCTAGCATCACAGCCACTGCTCCGTTTTCGGAGACTTTGCACACGTTTTTCACAAACATTTTCACACGCTAGGAGTACTTCCACTAGCTTCGTCTTGATCTGTAGATGTGATTTGATGTGTCGTGTGTCCCCCAACTCCTCTCCAAAGTTCAGATATTTAATAAAATACTCAGGGGAGTTTCCTGAATTTTCATGCCCAAAGCCAAGCACTAGGCCCTGGGTAAATTAAGAGGCTGATCTCGGGCACTTTTGTCCACTGTCCCTGGTGGTCGAAACTCAAGCCAGACATCCCTGGAATCGTCTCAGAGAGTAGATGATCAGTGGGGCCTTGTTTTGACTGAATGATGTGGTTTTTTTATGGGGAATTCAAATATGAGCTTATTTTTAGGATTTTCGGAGACTTTGCACACGTTTTTCACGCTAGGAGTATGGGACTACTTCCATTCGCTTCGCCTTGATCTGTAGATGTGATTTGATGTGTCGTGTGTCTCCCAACTCCTCTCCAAAGTTCAGATACTAGGCTATATAAAAATACTAAAAGGTAAATAAAACATTAAACATAATGACAAAATAACAACCTGAATATATATGTATTCTATCTACACATTTCGTAATTATCTAATCTAGTGGCCTTATAAAAGTGTTGGCTAAAGTAACGCAGAATATATATTTTTTTTAATTGTAAATAATTAGAAACATTATTTATGTGCACAAGTACATGGGACCCCACCATATCACCCCACACATAACAAGCTGTCCCGAGTTCCTCCGGCTGCAGTTCCGCAGACGGCCGGTGTGTGGCAGCAGAGCGCTGGGAGCAGAGGGAGGTGAGTATATGACGGATATGACGGATGACAGATGCGACGGAAATACACCCGAACATATCTGGTAGCCCGAACATATCTGGTACTGACACCGGCTCTACCCCACAGTTTGCCGCTTGCTTGAAACGAAAGGATTTACTTCCTCGAGACTCCGAGAGATTTCGCAAGATTACTGAGCTGATTGTGGAGTGCATAGCAGAGGACGCTATGGGATGCCATCCCGCCATTACATTGCTGAAAAAGGCATCCCAGTCCTGCACACCAAGGTGCGTGAACAAGTGCAGCAGCACCTAATGGAGGCTACCTATGGAGTCAGATTTGGGTCAATATTCTCGCGCGTAAAACAAGCTACTCATGAGCGGAAAATGTGCTTTTACACGCGCATAAAATGACCCTCGCGCGCAGATTAAACCCCCGCGAGCGGCTCTGCGCCCGCGAGCGGCTCTGCGCTCGCTCGCGAGAGAGACAGCCCTCTTGCTTGCTCGCGGGAGTGTCAGCCTCGCGGAGTCTGTCTACGCGCACGTGAAAAGTTTCTGGCACTTTGGGGCGGAGCCACTGGACTTTGATTGACAGCTGCCAGGAAACCCGGGGTTGCCAGGTTTGATAAATGCCTGAACTGCCAAGAGCCGAGCAGTGACGGCAGCAAAATCTAGGTGCGTACAGCAGACAGTAGCTAGCAGTTTTCGACGGACACAGCCCACTGAAAAAATATATTGTCTGCGCGCGAGGGTCATTTTATGCGCGTGTAAAAGCACATTTTCCGCTCGTGAGTAGCTTGTTTTACGCGCTAGAATATTGACACAAATCTGACTCCATAGTAAGCCTTCTTGTTATTGACCACTGATGTTTAGCTACGCATTACCCACGTCAGTAAAGTTCATGCTAATTCCGTCAACAGCATCTTTTAATGAATGGTCATGGGGTAAACTTCCATTTGATGATTTTAACATGATATACTGGATGTATATTAAATATTCCCTATTCCCAATTATAATTACGTGTGCCCTGGATTTATTTAAAATGATGTCTAGATAACGTGTCTTTTAGACGGCAACCACGTCAACAGGCTAGCAGAAAAGTTAGCCTAGCTTGTTGTCAGCTAACTCACGTCAGCTTAGCCACTAGCACTAGTTGTTATTGCGACAGCAAAGAATTAAAACGAAACATTAATATCCTGTTTTATGTCTTATCTAAGACTACAGGCTTTCAATACGTTTGTTAGACTTGGAAGTAGCCTACCATATTAATGACAAAACAGCTAGTTTTGAGAGGCTACCTATCAGCAGGAAAAATATTCAGTGCAACTTTTGAGATGTTAAAATCTCAAAAGTCTCATCAGATCATAATGGTTTGGAGGTTTCATGCAGATGGTGGACCATAGTGTATAAATTACTCACAAATGTTATGGAAATTTCTCGAGGTTTGTTTAATAAGTTAAGGAAAGTCCAGAAATGTATGTAAGTCAATGAGAGGTTAAGACGTTACCTGAGGCTGACTTACATACACTGCTATCAGTTTTGCAACCAGCAGATGGCTGCGCTCTATTTGATACTATTGTGACATCGACTGCTTATTTTCATCACTGACCAGTATCAATAGGCTATTGATATTCATCTATCTATCTCTCGCCATCATCCTCTCTCCCAATCTCTCGATTGTAGGCATTTGCAGACATGGGGGTGCAGTATGGGGGTTAGTCCCTATCTTTATTCAAGTATGGTATTTAAATTTGAGAGCATACTTTATGTATTTATTTCCCTCAAACCCTGTCCTCACACTCAAATAGTGCCTGCTTGCACTTAGATGTACTCTACTTGTGCTCAAACTGTACGCTTGCACTCAGATATATTGCTGCTTACATATTTGTTCTGCTCTCAGATTTATTCTGTGCGCGCTCGAAACTTTTGTGCAACAATCCTGTCAAAATCCCTCAACCATCCTTGCGGGTGCGTTCGCTTTACTTATTACAGCGTCCCGTAAGGGCGGTTACTCTTTGGTTTATTAAGGTTACTCTTTGGTTTATAAACTCCCGCCCTCCACGGCTTTATAACATAACATGTACTTCACTTCGCTGTACAACTTTTTTTTTGTGGGGGGGGGGGGGGGGTAAAACTAACTAACCGTTACAACTGTTACATTACGTCCGTTATGAAACTAACTAACTAGGCTAACTAACGAAGCTTAAGATGGAAACATTTAAGGTTAACTTCGACCTCCGGGGTGGCCTTACTATGGAGGAGTGGATTGAGAAGTGCCTATCTCCAGAAAAAAAGCACCTAAACGACGTCTATTATGTTCTCTAGCTGTTATTGTTGTTGCATAGCAACCACCTCGCACTATGTTTTGTGCAGGCAACGGAGGGACTATTTTATTTTGAACATCATTATTTAATAATTAAAACTATTTAAATTGGAGTGTGTATTTTTCTTTCACATTGCCAGCCACACGTGGTAACCGTTTTATAAATGCAATAGCTCGCTTCAGGCCGTGATATACGAATATCTATACAATATGGGGTTGTCGACACTCCGCTTCGCGTCGGGCCGAACCAAGCCATAGCACAACAGTGCTGGAGCAGAACAACAGTCTGGAGGAAGAAGTGGGCCGGTCGGAAAATTCAATAGCAATCCCCCCTCCCCCCGTTGACAATTTACTAGCGATAACGAGGGCCGGTCGAGATTCCCGGGCTGATTTTTAGTCCCAGTACGCCACTGAACGTAGCTATTATGTAAGGTGCTGGTATATATATACTAACTGTGCTTCCCCACCCCCAAAAAAAAGTTGTAAATCAAACAAGTGAAGTACATGCTATGTTATAAAGCCGTGGAGGGCGGGAGTTTATAAACCAAAGAGTAACCGCCCTTACGGGACGCTGTAATAAGTAAAGCGAACGCACCCGCAAGGACACCTGGCCTCCTATTGGTTGAGGGATTTTGACAGGATTGTTGCACAAAAGTTTCGAGCGCGCACAGAATAAATCTGAGAGCAGAACAAATCTGTAAGCAGCAATATATCTGAGTGCAAGCGTACAGTTTGAGCACAAGCAGAGTACATCTAAGTGCAAGCAGGCACTAATTTTGAGTGCGAGGACAGGGTTTGAGGGAAATAAATACATAAAGTATGCTCTCAAATTTAAATACCTCGCTCTTTATTAAAGATAGGGAATAACCCCCATAGTGCAGAGCCTGGGCTGTTTCGCACACACACTCCAACTCGTGGTCATCCAAGGCCTTCTCGCCCAGCGAAGCATCATCGATGCTGTCGCCAACGCACGGAAGCTTGTGGGTCATTTTAAGCATTCCCCAAAGGCCTACTCCATCCTCGAAGACATTCAGGTGGTTATCATTTTATTATTATTATTATTATTAGTAGTAGTAGTACTATGTTATCTTTTTAGTAATTGCACTTTCCCCCCTCCCTGTCATGTCATTGTAAAGCAATCCATCATTAGGCTACACTAGTGTTGAAAGGATGTTAGCCAAAAAATAAATAACCTAAATATAGAAGCATTTTGAGTGGCCTACTAGAAAAGCGATACACACAGCTGATTTATTTTAATTATTATCATTATTATTACTTTACAGAAAGACCTGCACATGCCAACACAACGACTCCAGCAGGACGTGTCAGTCAGATGGAACAGTACTCAGTACATGATGCTGGTAGGCTATATGGATGGAAGGAATGAATGCAAAGAATGAATAGATTTTTTTATTTTTTACATGTGAATCAGCCTAAATAAATACATTTAGATGTGAGGTATATAGTTCTACTTGTATTTTACACATGAATGTTAAACTAACATTTATTTACTTATTTTGCAGAGCCTTCTTCAGCAAAAGAGGCCGCTCAGTGTCTATGCAGTGGACCACGACCTTCCATGCATGCCCTCTGCCAACCAATGGGCGCTTATGGAGAAGGCAGTTGTGGTCTTGAATCCATTTGAAGAGCTGACGAGGGCAGTGAGTGCTGCGACTGCAAGTGCCGCGGATGTAATCCCTGCAATAACTGTCCTCAAGCGTCATCTTTCCCGTGAAGAGAGCACAGATGCTGGAATCAAGACTATGAAGAGAACACTTCTTGAGGCTGTCACTGAGCGCATCGACTACGCTGAGACTGAACCAATCTACTCCGTTGCTACATTGGTTGACCCAAGATACAAAGAAAGGCAAGTCCTGTTTGATTCAAAACTTATTTTGCGATATATAATTGCTCAGGCCCAGAGACGTGCACACATAAGACTCTAGGTAGTGCTTGAGCACCTGCCCGTTTTGCCCTCAGGACAGCAATGTGCCCTTTTGAAAGTTCGTTTTTTACAGTTTTTTATTTAATTTTTTTACAGTGTACTGTATGTGGCTCATGGTAACATCGATCAATTCTGGATTAAAAGCTTCTAATATATACAACAATGCCCCAAATGCGCAATGTAATTTTGTCAGACATCCCCACACGTGCCCCGCGGCACTCCCGTACGTGCCCTGGCTGTAGCCCCTCCCTTCCCTGCTCTCAACGTGAACGCGCATCGCGCAGAGCAGACAGTCAGTCACTCAGTCAGACAGGCCACGGCGGGTGTGTGGTGCAGCAGCACGCAGCAACACGATTAAAAGTGCCCTAGTGACGACCAAGTAAGTAACCACCAGGTAACAAATACAACGAGTGTATTGTTTAGTCCCCTAAATCAGATGCCAAACTAAACTATAACTTTACTTATTTTCTTGCATCCATCCATTTAGTCTCGTTGTGCACTTTTGAAAATAGCAGATCTACACGCTCACAATGCGTCATTATGCTAGGGCTGAAGTGATTAAATGTATGTTTTGTAATAATCTTAATTAAAATCTACATAGTAACTAGTAACTAAAGTTTTCAAATAATTGTAGTGGAGTAAAAGTAGAATATTTGCATCTGAGATGTAGTGGAGTAGAAGTAAATGTATTGAAAATGGGAAATACTCAAGTAAAGTAAAAATGCCTCATAAAGTACAATATAAGTAGTAGTAACCTTATAGGTTTACATTAATGCTGCTGTTAAATGTTTCTAGGAGATTAACCCTTAATTATCATGCACAGCAGAGCAGTACATTGATTTAGCTCATTTGCATTTACCACTTGTAGAATAATGCCAAGAAGAGACAGGATAAGAAAAGAAAAGAGAGCTATAGCAGGCAGCCCGGGGAAGCAGCTCTCTGCTCTCCTGGGTAAAGCAGCCTGAGCCTACCAGCAAGGAAGTTGAGGATGCAGATGTGCCTGATGAACCCTTACCCATCATCAATGATGAAGATGAAGAAGAAAGGTCAGAGTCAATACCAGAGTCATGTTAAGGGACACACTGTCTGTCTAGAGCCCTTTCATGCTCAGATTTGAACTGTGATAATAATAGTAGTAATAATAATAATAATAATAATAATAATAATAATAATAAATAATAATAATATAATTGTATTGAGAGGCCCACAATTTATTTTAACCACACTAAGTGATACTAAATCAGACATGAAGCTACTTACCAAATGACAAAAAAACAACAACTATGTGGTAGAGTGTTGAATTTTGGCCATGACAGTTAAAGTCTGGTGAGTCTTAATGTTATCATGCATTGCATTACCCAAATAATTGAAATAAACATCATATTCTATATTGTTTGTATTCTAGGCTGCTACAGCAGGCTCAGGGAAGCAGCCCCCTGCTGTCCTGCAATAGTCCATCTAAGATGAGGGAGACAAATCCATAGAAAATATCTCTGAGTCAGACACAGATGAAGCAGAAATGTCAGAGTCCAGAGCAGCACCATGTTCAGAAACAGTGCTCTCTGATGATGACCAAAATGAGGGAGAGATGGAAGGAGTAACCAAAAACCGAAAATAAACTAACAAAATCCGCCATTATCCGGCAAATTTCCGCGCACAATTTTGCGCGCGGGCGAACGCCAGACCGCCACGACGACTCAGAAGGTGCCCTTTTTTTTCTCTTGAGCACCTGCCCCTATAAATGTCTGTGCACGCCACTGCTCAGGCCTAATCAATTCACCACTTGATTATTGATGATCAAATAACATCAAAATAAATGTTCCAAATGTTGTTCTTTGACATTGACAACAATAACTTCGATATGCTAAGGCAACGACAAAATATGTTAGGAAACAAATAATCCTTTTTAACTAAATGAAATTCTATCAATTTTCAGATTCTTCACAAGTCCAGACCACCAGGAGCTTGCCAAGGAGGCTCTCATTAGAGAGGTGGAGATCATGGAGAGAAAGAGGAAGGCTGGCAGTGAGGTGTCTGCAGAAGAGCCTCCAAGAAAGTCACCATGTCGAGGCGGTGTAGGCTGTGCAGCTGCAAACAGCAGCTTTGTCAGTCTATATGACGAGATCTTGGAGGGGAATGTGGTGGAGTCGAGGCCTGTGAGTACGTCAGCAGTCGTCACTCAGGTGGAGGCCTACCTGGCTGAACAAACCATCCCAAGGTCAGAGAATCCTCTACACTACTGGCGAGCACATGCTACACAGCGACCCGCACTGGCTGATACAGCCATGAAGTTTCTTTGTGCACCTTGTACATCGGTGGACAGTGAGAGACTGTTTAGTGCAGTGTCGAATGTCCTTGATGAAAAAAGGAACCGGTTGACAGCCGATAAGGTGCAGGTGTTGGTTTTCATTAAAAAAAACCTGCACTACACTTTGAAGAAGTCAGTGCAGTAGATTAAGATGGAGGAAATAAGGAGCTCTATTACACTGTAAAAATGTTTATTTTTAAGTTTAGTGATTACATGTCTCTGAGATCCCTTAATTACCCACACTGTGAAACATATTAAGTTCAGTTTACTTGAAAAAAGGGTGGAAACTCGTTGTCTCAAATAAGTAACCAAAACTTTGTGTATGTTATGTTATGTTTACTTTATGTGTACAATTAATGCAAAGATTTTTAAGTTATGGTTACTTACTTCCAAGAAGTAAAGTTTAGTGAAGCTTACTTGTATTTACTGCTGTTAAATGAGTAACCTTTTGAGTTGTAAAGGGTACTTTATGTTGGATAGTAAAGTTTACCTGCAGAATATTCATACTATAGTTTCTAACTACTGGCAACTTGAACAACCAAAGTCCTATTTAACAGAATAAAGGGAACTGAAAGATCAGATTTTTTTTATTATTATTGCAAATAAAATGCTCTTATTTGTGATAGTGAGAGAATAAAAGCTATTGAGCACAGCTTGGGTGCCTGTCTATTTCTTAATGTATACGAAATTAAATGCTGTTTGCCAACACAAAAAGTGATATCGGAAATCGGTATCGGAAAACCGATATCGGTATCGGATCGGAACCTATATGAAAATATCGGGATCGGAAGCTAAAAAATGAGATCGGGACATCCCTGATTAAAGCAGCTGACTTAAGCGTGTGCGTGTCTGAGATCATTGAGATTGTTGCGGATGTAAGCGTGAGACGCTTGGGATGACGAGCGGCCGAAGGCCTAGATGGTTGGATAAGAGATGCCCGGTCTAGCTGCTGTGGACGCTGCGCCAATGCGGAAGGAATGGCTCGAATAATATTCTGAGCATATCCCCAAAATAAGCAACACATTGTGGAAGTGTTTCTGGAACCAGAAACGTGTGGCCGTTTTCCCTGTTTCGGTGAGAAAGAGTGGGTGTTGAGGCGTTGCGTATGCATCGTACCTTGCGCTGAGGTATTTGGTTAGTGGCTCGTATGGCTGGGATATGCGTTCAGGCAGAAGATGTGGATGGGGAAAGAAATTCGCAGCTGATCTGTTTTTTTTTCCGGAGTGTGAATATGAGTCGTTTGCCGTGGAGGGCTAACAGCTGCCGTTTCGTGCATCTGTCTGCCTGTAAGTAGTTTGACGAGAGGTGAGTGATGCGCTGTACTTTCTCTGAGGATAGAGAAGCCCGGAAAGACATTGAGGGTGATGCCTAGAAACCCAATGGAGGTTGTAGACCCTGAGGTTTTCTCCTCAGACAGAGGAATGCCACGGTCTGCAAAATATTTGTATGAGTGTGCTCAGCCCGTGGCAGGGGGGTGAGGATGGTGGAGTGACCGTGAGAAAGTCGTCGAGAAGATGGAGCACATAGGGGAGTCTGTGGTTGTTTGGGGACTATCGAATGGCCTATCATGAATCCTTCTTTGACTTCTTTGGCCAGTAAGGTGTCGAAGGTGTGAGGTTATGTTAAAGCGGACTGAAGGTTGTGGCAGATGTGAGATGTGTCAGGCAGTATTGCTATGCCTGGGTGGAAACCATGGGTGAAGCCACTGGTGAGAAAGTAAACAGACTATCTGGATGATTCGCTGAGGCGGTAGCTAAGTTGCTTATCTTGACGGGTGTGCTGAGGTGCCGTGCTAGTCAATCTGCTGATGTAGTTGGGTTGTGAGGGCAGGTGCTCCTGGCATGAGCACCGCCGCAGAAAGAACAGATGTGCATGAGGCGGCAGCTAGAAAAAGAGCAGCCTTGGTCATTGAAATTGTTCCATCCTCCCTCCCTGCGGGTGATAGACGGTTAAGTCTGAGGCGTTGCGTGATGGAGAGGAAAGTGAGTGAGGTGTTTGAGATGGTGGAGAGCTGACTAAGCATGCTAAGGCCGGGTGGGGGGGGGCTCCGCATAATTGGCAAGAGAGGAATGCGCGTGCTGCGAAGATGCGGCAGTAACGCTCGGAGTCTGGAGCACCCCGGTATGTTACCTGGTTGAACTGCTTGATGCGGCCGGCAGCTTGGCTAGCGAAGTTTATTTTATTATTTGTATTATTTTTCCTGAGAGAGAGACCGGAGCGTCTACTTGCGGCGAGGGTCAGAGAGAGAGAGACCGGAGCATCTGCTCACGGCGAGAGTTGGAGAGAGAGAGACCGGAGCATCTGCTCACTGCGAGGGTCAGAGAGAGAGAGACCGGAGCGTCTGCTCACTGCGAGGGTCAGAGACAGAGAGACCGGAGCGT